GCGGAAAGCCTCTCATCTGTCACTCAAAGTGGCCACACATGTTTATTTCTGCTGTAAAGTTAAGCATTTTAACATGGGAGTCTATGGGGATCGAATCTCTTTTGGACCCAGCCTCAAGTGGCCATTTGAGGAACGACAGGTTTTAACACTTCGTCAGTGGCTTCAGTTTTCAGCCTGGAAGGTTGAGGCTTGCATTACAGCAGTCAGCCATGTAGGCTGCAAATTTATATCGGCTACCAGAGGGCCCTTTATCAGTATAAAATAAAAGGAACGCAAATTTAGCATGGCAAGTGTAAATGTATTTCTTTTGTATTGTTCAAAATTAAAGCTGAAGTATTACTAGCTTCGATTTTTTTCATTTTGATACCTGCTGCAGCACCCAGTCTGGGAACCACAGGTTTAAAAAATACAAATATTTTTTAAGGACGCTCACCGGCCAGCACCCCTGCCATGTAAAGCAGACTTATCCGTAAGATGCCATGGACCATCTCCAAAGGAACACCAATCATCAGCTGCAGTAGAGCATTGAACCCCAGCTGCTCCAATCTGAGGAGAAAGAAAACTAAATTCAAATAACAGAAGGAGCTCTTTGCTCCTCCTACAGTTCTGTCATCTGTAACATCCAACAGGGTTTTAATTTAACCAGCTCACTGCAGAAATCAATATGTGGTAAGTGGGGGTTCATGAACGCACCCGACATGCATGAACATGTAGCTGAAGAAGCGCCACACTTGGGCACGGTGGCCAGGATGGTAGACCAGGGGGCTCTTCATGAAGTCAGGCTGGTAGGTCTGCAGGACCCACTTGTTCAGCATGATGCCATAGCACATGAACACAATAATCTGCAACACAGACATGACAACAAACTTTCCGTTCACACTAACATACCCATTACACAACCTCCCTGCAGACTATTGGTACAAAAGGTGGAAATTGCACTACAAAACAAAACCCATTATTCTTTATAAAAGACACATGACATTCTCTTCTTTGTATTCCTCAGCTGATGCTTAATGGACAATTACTGCCCCTAGAATGAAAATGCCACATCTGGTTCAAAACCATTCATTTTTTTTCATAGAATAACGACTCATTGTCTCTGTGAATTAAAAGGAGAGTGAACTGTTATTATTGCATCCTCACTGTCATTACAGACCATTCAGCGCTATTAGAGGCATTGTAAGAGTACTTGGCTTTCTTTCCTCAGAATGATGATGATGATGATTTCATGGGATATTATGAAGTTTTGTTAAGCTGTAGGTTATTTTTTGCTGCTTAATCCCAAACCATTCAACTGTGGTCAATAAGGACTTCCATGTTAGCGGTTTTCTTTTCTTCTTTTTTTTTTTTTTAAATGAACATAATAGGTCAATTAATGAGACTGTGTTGGTCGGGGTGCTTACTGACCGGGTTTCCAAATTCCAAAATCTATGAAAAAACAATCCCTGCATGCAGGCTGACGGAAGGTTTCAGCTTTGAGGGACAGCATTAAATGCACCCACTAGGCCCACGACTCCCAAATGGGTTACCAGCTAATATCAAGCTCCCAGTAAAAGCATGTGATCAAAAGCAGAAAATCTTTTTAGTGGCTCCAAAGCAAATGACTGAGCCATC